TAATCTAAACCGGCCAGCATTTGTCAACCGCACAAGTTGGGAAAAAATCTTTATTGAATTGACTTTGATCTCATGATTCTGAACAAACATAGAAAAAATCGCTAGGTTCTAGGACAATTTTTATAATGTGGCCACTTAATCGGTCTATCCAAATTATCCGGAGAACCAGAATATGGCCACTATACCCCAAAATATAGTTTCCATATTAAATTCGCTTTGATCTCATGATTCTGAACAAACATAGAAAAAATTTGAAGGTCAATTTTTATAATGTGGCCACTTTATCGGTCGTTCCGGACCCTCCTTTAGGCCAGTAAAGCTTCCTTGAGGGCGTATATGGTGTCTTTACACCAGGGTTGCTTCCACTCACTTGCTATAAAAAAATTATTTCCTGAATTTTGAAATCATTAGGTGTTATAATGATATTTTGTACTTGTTAGATACGAGAAGAGGTTGAAAGGCAAGTGTTTGACTCATAAAATCTGTCAATTTCGCTACCAGAGTGTTACAATCAGCGATCTTATGACTCAGAGTGAGCGCTCGCGAGTCGTAAAATCGCTGATTGTGACTATCTGAAAGCAAATTTTACAGGTTTCATGTGTCAAACACTTGCCTTTCAGCCTCTTCTTGTATCTAACAAGTACAAAATATCATTATAACATCTAATGATTCCAAAATTCAGAAAATCATGTTTTTATAGCAAGTGAGTGGAAGCAAGCCTGCTTTACACCATATATATTTAGTACTATCAATTTCCAGTAATATACGTTAAGTCAAGTGTAAAATTATGTCGATAGATAGTGGCATTTCCTACTTTACCGGGAACTCGGGTTGATCCTGGCCCTTGCAAAAGTCTACAGCCAATAACTATTGCTCGTAATGTAGCGAGTACCGGACGAAAACTACACACATTTTAGCAATCAAATGGCTGAAACTTTTCTCCATAAATTTTGTGCTTGTGCTCGTGTCGGCCCGGCTTCTAGGCGAGTAAGAGAGGTGACACAGTCCTAGGCGAGTAAGAGAGGTGACACAGTCGGAAGAAGTGTTAGTTTGTTTACTAAAATGAACCGCCCATTTTGTTATGGCAAGTTTCGCTATAAGAAATGCTCCTCGAAATTCACATCAAAGATTGATTAATTGCGTAGGAAATCAGTTTGACACGGCATTTGTGACAGGTCAAAAACCGTCCAAATTCGACCAAAAATAAAAATTTGTTTTGAATTTCTGTATGGCAAAATAATGAACTTTTCGTCAACATTAACGGCGAAGAACTCACCAACACTGGGAGACCGTGAGTTCCTGCCCACCTGTCATTTCCCATCTCGGCCCGGCTTGGCCGATTCTACAGCAGAGGATAGTCGGCATTATGAATAAATGGAGACGACTGTCTTTTGAAGACTTGAGGCGACCTATCCTAGTAGTAATAGACAGAAGAAGGCGTGTGGAAGTGCTTAGAGATTTTATTAAATACATCTGCGTTGTTTGTGACTGTAACCATTATATTGTTGTAGATGCACTGAAATTTCACCTAGATCTAGAATAACAAATTTTAAATACTGTTATCAAAAGTTCACAAACAAACCTACTTGTTTTACAAAAAATGAAAATGGTTGAAGCTAACGGGAAAATATGTTTTATTACGTTCCCTTATATATCTTCTGCTTAACTGTCAACAACTTATAGCTTTTTGTAGATTATAAAAGACAGAACAAAAATTAATTGAACGAGTGGTTCTCAACACGTCATTTCAACATAATTTGTTAGCTGCTAAGCTAAGATTCTACCTCGTAAATAACAATTTGGTTCACCATTTAACATGAATATTTGGAAGTAAAAAGGTTTTGAGCAGGTTCTCCGCCATTTTCATGTCAAATTGGACAGAAAAAAAAAGTCAAAAATCAGAAATAGTTGTGTGCGGAAAAAGGAGCAGTAGATATGTTTGTGATTATTTTTTCGCTCATATGTATATGGATTATGTCCATATAGAATTTGATGCACTACACCGCCGGAAGCTTTACAGAAGCTCTGGAAAAGACGAGGCAATGATGTTCAATTCATAATGCATCAACTATGAAAAAATACATGCAAATGTAGCACTTGGGAACTACGCCACTAGAGCCTCTTCACATAGATATTACTTATGACGGGCGCTATATATCTTGTGAACTAGTATGACGACATTCAAAAGGACTTCGTCACCTGAACAACTTTGCTCAAGACGCCAACTTTCTATATGGCCATGATCACAAGACATTCTATGTTGGAACCAAATTTGATATATTATAGCACCCGTCATAAGTAATATGAAAGTGAGTGGCTCTAGCGGCGTAGTTCTCAATTAAACCAAGATCCAATGGCACAAGCTTGTTGGTCTAAACCAGTTCAACAACTATGTCGAAGACAATACAGCTTTATACATTGAAACAAATGAGATAATCCGCTACATCCCTATTAGTGAAAATCCAATTATCTATGGGTTAATCACGGTTTCTTATTCAGGCTCCCTATTAACCGGTAATAAAGGTTCTTGACTGTTATTTCCACACCCTCTTAATTAAAACAGTATCCACATCAACACTTCAAGCATTGCATTCATTGCTTGTTTAGGTGCACTGTTGAGGCGGAATTACAAACATCGTTTTTTAATCAGTTCGTGGATTTATAAGCACCGTCAAAACATTTGGCTAGGTAAATTTTAAATTTTTACAAATCCTATATTTTTAATGAAAATACGATAAAAAAAATTCTAGTGACTCTAGTCTATGACACCGATTAAAACAAAATCGTGCCGCGGTTATGAAACCCGATACTTTAAAATAATTTGAGTTGGCGCTAATAGTCAATTACCTTCATGGAGGATGAGGGAGTACGTGTCTCTCATCCTCCCCCTGTCTCCGCCAGTGCGATACTATCCATCCCATAGCTAAGGTTACGGTTGTTGATATTTTTATTTGTATACGTGCATGGATGACATATTGGACATACAATGCATAAATGCCATAAGATATGTCCTCTACGGGAGTACTGATAATTATAAGAGCTTATCCCTCTTTATACAGATAATTGGTTTCGTCAATGGCACGTGTATTGTTGTTGTGAAATATTCGGTTGATTCCATTGCATTTATTTAACATATAAGTCATCTTTTTCTATTTATTCTACATATCAGTTCATGGAAAAGTTGAACACCTTTTTCAAAATAATGTCTCGTTTTGACAAATAACACCTCCATGAAGCCCATCAGCTTAATCAATATTTATTCAAAAAATGGCACATTCACAAGTCATCCTGAAAGTAATTCTATTTTTAAAGATTTATTTTTGTACCCAAACTTTCCACCATATGACAATCATTGTAAACGGTACCAACCACCGAAGCACTAATATCAAAGTAGATCCGATTCATTTCTTAATATAGACCCTTTCAATCTATAGTTCTATAGACCCGAAATAGCATTTGATCTCTAGCGCAAAAAGTAAAATTTTCCGATCCGATTATGAAGAAGAGAAAAACACATTGCCGTCGGATTAAAGGCCCACGCACACTCGAAAAAATGTTCATAGCAAACGTACTCGTACAGGGTAACAAATCTATTGTGCGCCGCCATCGAAGGCGGGAATTAGCACTGACAATTTTCAAATTATCACGTCTCCTCTCGAATTGAGTCAATCGCATTTCCAAGTCGCCACTAATAACCCGGGGATACGAAAATATCACTGTTTACAGATCACAAATTGATTTATTTATCTTACCTCCATCGTTCGAGTGCTCGCAATGGCGACGGTCGTGATTATCGATTTTTCGGTGGAGCCCAAATTGGACAAACAACAGTTTGTTTTTTTTTCGAACGAGCGTCAAACTGTGTCACGGATGTTGGAAAATTTTGACCATCACTGCTCCACGCACCTCGCCCAGAAAGATGTCATATTTTTTTTTTCTCAGAACACGAGAACACTTTTCAAAATTGAATCGTGAAAACCAAAAGAGAGGTATCAAATCTTAATCATAATCATCATCATCATCATCATCATCATCAGCACCATCGCAACATTCATGCTATATAAAAAGGAACTGCTCGCTTAGGCAAAGGGGTGAACTCGAAGAATGGGGGGCAATCGTGAAACATTTATTCAACGTTACATGCGGAGCAGAGCAGAGCACAGAGCGAGCGCGCAAAGTGGTTCTTCAACACGATACAGGCTCCTCGGTCAGCTCCCCTCTCCTCGTGTATCGTCGCAGCATAAAAGTTTCAGATCGAGAAAATCACATCACATCGTTTCACCAACAAGCACAGAATCGAAGGGGGAAGCAAAAGGGAGAACAACCATATAACATAAATGCTTCATAATGTTTGAATAAACAGAGAAACATTTTCATTTCGCCCGCTCCTCTTTGCTCCCGGTCCTCGTGTGAAAGCTCCATGGTGCAATGGGAATCCAACTAGAATCCGTAGGAAGATGGTGAGCGGAAAGCTTATTACGTTTCCAACCCTGCTCGTTGCTCGTTTACGGTGAAAGAGCGAGTGAAATTGAGCGAGAAATGCGTGGGTATGAGCGAGAAAGCGAGAGCGCTTGAGAGTGAGGACTAATTGCATATGTATTTATGCTTATCGTGCGCTTTGCTTTATGGTGAAAAAATGCCAAGATTGTGCGCTTTGTTCTCCCCTTTCCATTCCGTCCCGACGTAAGAATGTGTGAGTTTTCTCCGTAATGAAATCATTTCACGACATCTCCGCGGAACTGTTCCGTCGTTGTGTGCGGGTTTTCCCTTTTATCGTTACTCTCACCTGGAGTGCACTCATACGAGTGTACTAACTTTACGCACACAAATGAGCGAGCACAGTGCAAGCCGTGCGACCAATGGCGTGCAAGCCACGCCTCCTGCGGTCCCCACAGAAGCACCGCTGCAGCCTGCAGCTTTGGCGTGTTGCTCATCCGCTCGCACACTACCGTGCAACGCCTACCACTTGAGAGCGGTCGTTGGGGCCCTCAGTTGGTTAACGTATACCGTGATGGAACGACCGTTTTCGCCGCCGCTAGTCACAGTCAAGTGCTGCCGGTTTGATCTGCGTCTGTAACCCTGCACCGCACCGTGCTCCACCGTGTGCAGCACAAATCTCAGGGGGTCGGAAGTGTAGGGTGGCCAGTAGCGAATAGTGTGCGTGAATCTATACGCGAGGGGGGTGAAATAGTAACAGGCCATAATAATACTAGGGATTTTTTTTCGCGCTCGTTCGGGAAAGGTTACCCTCCCGTCTTCCGCCGTTCGTCGGAAGGACCCGCGAGTGTGACACACGGTGCGAATTTAATTACTGATAATCCTTTCGGGTCGCAATTGTTCTGTGACAGAGCCGCCGAGCGGACTGGCCTTTCTGGCTTTGTGGAAGATCTTGTTGGAAGAAGTTTCTGCGTAGGTGTCGAGTGTTTGAAATCCAGAAATCCAATTGGAAGCCGTTGATAATTGGACAGTGTTTGAAAAAACGAGTAGTGGAACGCAAGTGCAATATCCATAGGTAGCGACGGGTTTGCGAAAGTTTTTACGGTGCAATGCAGTAAAATGGCTACAATGATGTCACACAATTTGCCGTTGATACCGTTGCCTCTGAAGGCCACAACGGCGGCAGCTTTGGCAAAGACTACGGCCGGGTTGATGATGTCCGGGTTGCTAGGGAAGCACCCGGGAGAAGATATCTACGGAAATGGAGCCCTTGGTTTGCCGACGGATCGCAGTAGTCCGGATGTGGCCAGTAGTGAGGCACGGTCAAGTCCGGAATCGTTGATGATGGTACAGCAAAAGGAACGTGAGGATGACCGGATGAGTTGCTGCAGTGACGATAGTGAACTGTCTGTGGGTCAAGAGGGACTGGACGGAAGTGACAAAACTATGAACAGTGTTGAGAAACTGAGCGTAATTAGTGCAAATTCAAGGATGACTGGTGTGGACGTTGAAAAACTAATTGATCGGCACAGTGTTGAGGTGGGGGATGAAGTGAGCAATGATTCTTCGCGATATTCAAGTTCCAAGGACCCGTCGGAGGATTTCATGAAGATTCCGCTGATGCGACCTAGTCCAACGCGATTGCACGAAGAGTTCCTAAGAAATTCGCAACTATATGCGGAAGAACTGATGCGGCAACAGATGCAAATCGTGGCCGCAGCGCGGGGTCTGAACCTGAGTCCAAAGCCGTTGGATCCAGGACTGGGGTTGGTTACCAGACTACAAGATAATCGTAGTCCCGGTAGAGTAGGCTTCATTGACGAGCAGAAAATAGGCTTTCGACCGCACATCCGAGGCGTCGGGGAGATATACCAGGATCGTCACCGCTGGTCCGATGAACGAAGTGTCCAATCTCCTCCGGAGTCGTCTTCCTTCCGCGGAATCCACTCGCACCTGAGTGCCATCTCTCAGATAACCCAGAATCTCAACAGTGACATCAGCAAGCTAACCTCCCCTTCAAGTCTAACCAGTATGACCTCGCGTGAAAGTTCGCAATCACCTCCACAAGCCGCCGCTCATCTCCTACAGATGAACAACAACATCGCTCTGAACGATCAAAACCTCAAATTCAGCATAGATAATATTCTGAAGGCCGATTTTGGCCGCCGCATCACCGACCCATTGAAGCGCAGTGGCAAAAGCTATGCGAAAAAGCCGTCGGCTCCCGGTGAAAAGCCTACTGCGATGGATCTGACGGCAGTCGAGAAGCTCAGTGCCGTCATTGCGAATGGCACTAGCGGTAGTGCGAATAACAGTGCCAGCAGTGTTGCCAGCAGAAGCCTAAGTTCAAGTGCAAGTGGAAGTGAAATCGAAGTACCCACGTCTCCGTCGTCGTCCAGTGGCAAGGCCGGGGAGACGGGAAGTAGTGGTGGCGGTGGGAGCAGTTCATCGTCATCCGGAGGCCCAATGGTATGGCCAGCCTGGGTCTACTGTACCCGCTACAGTGATCGTCCTAGTTCAGGTGAGTTGATCAGCAGCACACATTCCTGCCGGCTGATGACCAGCTTTTGATTCTGCGAATTGAAAATGAAACCACAGAACCTGCGGACAATGAGGGAATGAACGAAAATTCCTCTCCGCTGCGGTCCGTTTCCGCTCGGATGGTTGGGTGGTGCATTGTGGGGGGGAGGGGGGAGAGCTGGCCGCTGGCTGGCGCGATTAGTGACTAGTGAGGTACTTGACGATGTGATAATGAAAATGAAAACCTGAACGAGTCACTCGGTACTCTCGCGTGGTACTCGCCGAGGTCAGGGGTGGACTCGAGGCAGATCATCTTCACGTGACAACATAAAAGCTGCTGATGAGCAGCGACTGTTTCACGGTGTACCGTTGCTGTCGTTGTTGTTGTGTCGGAGCTCTCGTTCACGTTCCGATGCAACCTAGACCAAGCATAAAAGTTATGTCTCCGGTTACAGCAATTACTCCGTTCGGTTGTCGGTGCTGTTGCTGCTGCGTTCATTGACCAGTACCAGGTCGTCGAAAAATTAAGTAGTTTTGTTGCAGCCCTGCGTTCAGCACAGTTTTCCAAATAGACTCCGATATCAGCAACGCTTCCTTTGATCCCCGACTGGCTGACGGATCGGTTGGTCAGTCGGTGCAGTGTCAGTTGTAATCACTTACCACACACCTCTTGCACCTTGCGCGCAGCTCCACCCGAGTCGGTCGTGTTGTAGCCGCAAACGCCTGGTTCGAATTGGGACGGATGGACAGACGAACGGACTGGATCGGGCCGGACAGGTGGGTGTGTGCGGGGGGAGTCCGTACATGATGTTGAGTTGCACACAGAGCGCGTTGCACACACTTCTTGGGTGCGCGTTTTGAACCGACACCGACGAATCAACGTGTGAGAGGCAAGATAAGATAAACGCCACGCCAACTATGGTTTGTTGTGATGTGTTGTTCTAGACGGAAAACAAATCTCACTGATTGAATGATCTTTTTTTTATATGTTCTTGCCTGAAATACACAGGATTTTACTTTGCAAAAGCAAATGGTTCGTTTTGTGATTTTGTACAACTTGAATAAATTATTTAAAAATAAAAAGATGATAACAGAGGATTATAGTTTCATAATTACCTATCTCTTTTGTCGTGGCTCAATGGTGGAACTTAAGCTTTTCGTAAAATTGAATTCAATTTAATTCAACTAGAATCGATCTAGTTTTTGTTGTTGAATTTTAAACTGTGGTATTGAAATAAGATGTTTAAAAATTCAACAAATTGTAAGACATTTTTTCAGAGTGAAATTAAAACAAAAAGAGCAATTGACATCTTTTTGTTTGGTCACAAATCAGAGCAACTCTGGGTAAGAGAAGTTCTTATATGAAACCTGTCTCCCCTCGGGGCATGAAATTTGAGATCCTGTATTTTAAACTTTTATCATCGAATAAAACAGCGTTCTCAATTATCTTATGTGAAATTACAGAAGTAGGGGAAATGTCTCTGATGTTGGCCTATGGATCTAAGATTGGGCCCATCGCTAAAAATCTGCTATTTATCAATTTATCTAGATGAAATATTTAATGGATATTTTTGGTTGCTATTGAAAATTTAGTCGTTTGCTGAATTTATGTATGGGCCCAAATTAGGGGCACTTAGGCCGACATTACCTGAATTTCCCCTATTATCTCACAACTTATGAAATTTTGATCGAGAAAAGTTCAAACACTCATTTATGGAAGTCCTGTCGCGAGCAGTCCAATCTTCACTTTAAATGACAAGTTTAAAACAATGATTCACCCGACGGTTCCTTGGTCTTGTTTCACTTTGTTAATGAACCATTACCACCAATTCCATCAATCCCTACTAATTACAAATAAGAATTACAGTAATGACCCGATTTTGCTTTACGAGACCCATGCGCTTTTTCAGGGTCTTATTGCATCAAAGTATACCTTAAACATCCCTCTTGAAGATGAATGTGGAAGATTTGGAATTACGGTTATGTGAAATTATTGAAAGTATAAAGTTTAATGCATGAGGGGCTGACAAAATCGGATCATAACTGTAGTAGAATAAGACTCAACAGTAATATGTTTTTAAATCAATCAGAACCTAGCCCAAAAAAGCGACCATTAAATCCAAACCCCACACACTACGAAAAAGTCATGTGAATTTCGGAGTCCTGAGACCGACACATGCAAGTGACCCTTATGACATAAGAATCAGTTGAAAGAAACGAGCGAATCGTTTCAATCAAACGCACTTTTCGTAGAGTTGCGTATGTTTCGGTTTCGGTACACTTAATTTTACATGACAAGTTTATTTCCGTTTCATCATCACCTTTAAAAATAGTAAATTGTAAGTGTGTAGATAATACGGAGACTGACTTCAAAATTGGACACACTACATGACCGCTGAGACTAACATTGGGTTACTCATGCGCTAAGTAAACTTTTAGTAAATAGATTAGTTGAGTACGTACGTTGAGTAGTTACGTGCTTTATTCGAACAAAGCTAGTTTTCATTTAGACGATTTATGGTGTGTGTGTTCTGTAGTTTTCGGTGATTTTTGCATTTTGATGTTTTCGGCCTATCTAACTCTTTTATCGTTAGTTTGGCTTAAACATTTAGACATTTTTGGAGGTATTTTAGCTGTTGTAAATCTGTTTTAGCGTTGTTGGCTGCTTTGATCTTTATCAATATGTGGATTTTGCGATGTGTCAAGGTAATTTCGGAATTACATTTTATGATCGTTTTATTAATTGGTTCACCCTTTTAGGTGGTTTTTGAGCCATATAAAAGGACAATTTTGGCGTTGTTCGGCCGTGAAAGGACGTTTTGGTTTTGAATAATTGTAAGGCGATTTTTGGGTTTCGATTTTCGCTTTTTTCGATTATAACGTCCGCTCATTGAGCGATTATAGAACTATAAAAAGACGCCAAAACACCGGTTTTGAAGTCATAATGACTATTTCGGTGTCTATGGCAACTTTAAGCCATTGTTTGCGTCTCTAAAGTGATTCACGAGTTTTATGGCCATTTCGGAATTTTTATAGCCGTTGATAATAGGTTGGTGTTTTATGGTAATTTCGATGCTTTTCAAGCCATGTCAGAATTTTCAGAACAATTTTATCCTTTTTTAAGGCGATTATGAAGCTTTCACGAGCTTTTTGATTTTGTTAAGTGATTTTTGCGTCTTAATGCTTAGGGACAAGCTGTTAATGCATTGAGGTTCATATGCAAGCTGCTATTCTGTTATTCTGTTGTTTAAGCTGAGGGTGTTTCTCCGAACTATTAACCGACAATTTATTTTAAATTCAATAGGGGAAATGTCGGCTTCGGCAATGCCTTAACCTATTATCGTCAGGGGGGTAAACAAAGTCCTAGAGCACTCAAATTTGGTCAATAGTAGCTCTGAAACACAATGTATCCACATGCAAAAATTGAGCTCTCAATGACGTTGTTTACCCCCCTGACGATAATAGGTTAAGGTATTGCCTAAGCCAACTTTTCCCCTATTACATCCACAGTGTTCGGAAAATCATTCTCAAATCTCATTCACTGAGCCTCTTTGAGAGCATTAACTCGCTTGCAAATATGGCAGGCAAAATTCGTTCTTGAGATTCTCATGCACACACTCACACTTACAACACCAAAAATCATTCCAGCTTTAAACTCAGAGAAACCGCTTAAACGTCAATTGATAGCATGCTTATGCATGTTGTGTTAGTTTTCCATCCCTTGATGCAAAAGAATAGTTAAAGCAATGAATTTTTGAACTTGAAAACTCATCTGTGATTTTGCAAAGCAATACTCATAGGCGCATAAACTCACAAATAAGTTTTAAGTTTGTGAATTTTTCCCGAACACTGAGTCATTCACTTTGCAGCAAAGCAAGTATGTGTGAACGTGGACGAAACTTTGGAACCATTATAACATTTGCGTGCTTAAAATTAATTAATTATGGACTAGGTGTCCAGGTTCGGTGCTTTACGATACAGCCTGTTGCGAAGTTGTGTTAAATATTGTTTTTACATGTTAGGATATGTTTATTCCAATTTACTTTCATCGTCGAAATAAATCAAATACCTGTGAATTACGAACTCGATCGGCTCGGCATACCTCAACAGTACCAACTTTGCTGCGCTACACTTATAACTGACGTGAAATATCTGCATGGCGTTCTACATCAAGTTCACTAAAAATGTAGAGGCTTGATAACAGTGCAACACTTTTTTGACTTCCTTGTTCAGTTTTGTGGATGGAGCGACCTTTTGTCCCTTCGACCTTTTGCCCCGTTGACTTTTGCTCCTTTTATATTGTTCCACTTGAGTTAATCAGAGCTTTTGTCTTTTCGGCTTGCCGTCCTTGGTCCTTTCGTCTTTCGCCCATTTGTCATAGGGTGCATTTTTGGTGAAACCTTCTGAAACTTTGGTTGAAGGATAGCCGTGAAGCAGCGGTGGGTTGACGGCACCACCTACTGCATAAATGGAGGGATTGCTGTACTATGGAAAATGTGCAATTATTATTAAGATTTGGTACATCGGTAAAAAACATAGCATTACAACTGACATGATGAGTCTTTAGGTCGCATGTCATTAGGCCGCGTGTCATTGGGTCGAACGCCATTAGGCCAAACGCCATTAGGTCGAACGCCATTAGGTCGAACGCCATTAGGTCGAACACTATTATGTCGAACGCCATTAGGCCGAACGGGTCACTAGGCCGACATTTTTATATTGGTTTTCTTTTCGTTATACAACATCTGTTGCGTGAAAACGCATCGGCTCACCCCTCACCAAGAACATCGCATGAGTCTAAGTGCACTATAGTCTATAGTGAGTGCTTTTTGTTTATAGGTAAGGAGATACCGTGCTTTCGCTATGATGACAACCTAAATAGAAGTGATATGGTAATTAGAAGCGAAAGTACGGGCGTAGTAAATAAGTAACTAATTGCGTTACTTATTCGCTATGAATAATCACTGAAGATGTGAGTTCTTTAAATTATAATTATCTAACCTATTATTTATAAGACCTTAATAAATTTTACAGCTTTACAGCGTTGGGCA